GATATTATGATATTGGTTGTGAGATGGGCTGCAATATTTAGAATGGGATTTAAATACTACGTACAAGAAGATTGTCAAGATATTGTGAAAAGAAGAGACTTGTAATGATTTCAGATAAATAATATTTCAACAAAATTGACTAGTATTGCACTAACTTTAAAGTGCAATGAATTAAATATAGAAAGATCGTAGGACGGAAATGCACTTGAAGCCATTTATTGTCCCTGATGATATGGGTAAACTTGACTGGGAGAAGCAAATTCTAGACTTGTATGACTGGCTTACAATTTAAAAGTTGACTTTTCATATAAGTTGTATCAAATCGAGATTTTGCTTTAACTTAAGTTGAGCTTAGTCAGGGTAATCCCAGTATCTTCGAAGTTATCTTGAAGGGAGCAATGCTTTCTTGAAGGGAGCAATGCTTCTCTAATTCACAAGTTCTTTTGGATTGACATCAATCGGATTTGGTTATGATTTGATTGATAGATTCACAGTGGCTTATACCAATCCACATTGTGTCTGGTCTTAATGGTGGTTTTGCAACCACATAAATATGGAGACGGGGTCTAGGGGTTAACTCACCCTCGGGGGATGTTATCCTTTATCCTGGCCTGTCACCGATGGACACACTAAACTATCCATGTAGCTGAGAACCCTCACAGCCGAGACAGTTCAAGGCTAGTATCAGGGGATAGCCTCTCGTGCGAGCCCCTGATGGGGGCCCCATGATGCCAAAAGCCGAGAACACCATGTCCCTCTCTTCCTTCTTTACCCCCATGTTTTCGCACAGGGGAAAACAATGGGAAAGAGTCAGTTTCTGTTTATTATGAGAGCAGAATAGCTGTGGGCTTCTAGAAACTAATCAGCCGACTCTTCAAAACTATATAAGAAAAGAATAACCATGGATGAAGATGATCTTTACTTGACATAAACCGCTGTCATCTTAACAAAACCACGGAAAAATTGTGGTCCTTTTATTTCTATCTTTCCGTATGGCGATATGATCTATAATGGTCGAGTTAGACTGCATAAGGAGATATACCTGCAGATTGGGGGCTTTTCTGTTTCTTGTAAATTTGATTGAGGAATTTGTCTTATTTAAGTACATAAAAAAATCCAGGATTGATATCCAGACAAATGCGAGGCGCTTCCAGAGTATCTTTCGGGTGAGATAATTCTTCACTTCATAACTTCTCTTTTATAATGTCTTAGTATTACATAAAATACTTAGATATAAAATTTAAGGTATTTTCTTTTCAATCATTCGATGGTTGTAGTATCTCCTAGAGGAAGTTGCTCTATGTTCAGAAAGACTAAAGAAGATTCCATTACAGGTATAGCTTGCATTTTGTTGACAGTTTTCAATTTCAGGTGCATTATGTTCTATCATTCTTATCTTGTTTGCATTTATGATATACCACTCACAGTTCTGATTATTTTTTAGGCTCAGCGAGATTTGTTCCTTCTCCTCTCAAGATTCCTTTTCTTCTATAACTCAGGTTGGTAAACCATATATTGGATGTGTGTTTGCATGACTATCTTCTTATTCGTGGTTGTCCTCATTCATGTAAGAGTCGATTGTATTCTATAGGTGACAAGCTTGATAGCTTTTTGAAGCAGTTTCCTGATTTTCCAAATGCTTTCTTGATTGGTGGTGCCTCGGACATATTCGTCATGGAACTAGCTGATCAGGTAAACCTTTAAAGTGTTCTTTATCCTTAGTTCGTCCAACCCCCCACCCCCACCCCTACCCCCCTCTCTCTCTGGATAATATGCAAGATCAAGTAAGTAGGGTAGGTCCTTGGTTGATTGTTCAAATTTTACCTTTTTCATGGTACCAGCTTCTGGAAGTTTTTCTTTCTGTGCTTAAATTGGTGTCTCTGTTATTAGCTTCAAAAATTAAAGGTGGAACCAGTCCTTCTCCATTACCTCTCTGAGATAAAAGTTCTGCGAGGTACATACCACTCATATTTTACTGTTTGATGCAACATGTACTGTATTTTGTAACTTTATCTTTATTGTTGAACCTTATGTGATACATGCTCGCTGACTAACTTTATTTGCAATTTTAACAGGCTTAGAACTCAGAATGGCGACTAGCACGAGATTGAAAACGAGCCTGTATAGCTTCACATCTCCAGGTGGTCCAATGTACCCTACAAGAGCTGTCCGGCATGCAGCATGGGATGCTTTGGACTTTCTTTTTCCTGTGAGTGATTTGAATTTCTGCATCTTCATGATGCATTTATATCAGTTGCTAGTGATAGATTGCAAAGTATGTGCATCAACTATTTCTCATACGCCATCCTGTTAAACCCATGTATCAGTACCTTGAAAGATTTCTGTTAGTGTTCAATGTTGTGTTATATAAGTGGATAAAGTTATCATGATGGAAACTAAGAAAAAAATTTATGAAATTTGATCATTAGATATTAATTTAGTTACATTGGATTGGTAAGAAAGTCATGAAGCTATTTGGTCCTTCATTGACTTGTACAGTAAACTGAGCCTTTTCTTGTCTTGATGCGCATAAATGCGTGAGGTATGGTATGGAAGCCTGAAGGTTATCTGTTTACATTCGTTGGCGACTTTTATGGGACCTTGACAGTAGTGTGAAACCCTGAAGCTTATTTATCATATCTAAGTTGATGTTATCTTCCCTATGAGCAATCCATGAAAGGGTGCAGAATCATAAATGAATCTCTTGTGCGTATACAAGTTGCTTTTGTCCTGAGAGAGAGAGAGAGAGAGAGAGAGAGAGCAATGGTAAATGGAGACTTTGATGGTTGTTTGACCATAAATATTTGAACTATAACATTTGTGTACATATTGGAGATCCGGGAGTTTTATTAAGTCTTCAACTTTTGGTAATACCATAGTCATTTTTATGCTGAAAAATTCTCTTCTGATAACACCCCTGCTATTTTACAGGTTGGGCGATACCCGCGACACTTGATAAGTCTCTTCTTTCGATTGCTTTATCCATGGTATTGGCCGTCATCTTGTTGGAACTTCTTAATCACTTGTATACAAGCTGTGTTTTATTCTCTTTTAAGATTGATTTTTTCTAGTTGGGAAAATATTAGAAGACCAAAGCAATCGTGAACTGTGATGTGTGTACCCAGGCTTTGGTGAAGTTAGGTAATCTGTGCATAAAAGATTGTAATGTGTTTGTTGTTCATCCTGTTCAAAGATGTGTTGTATAATGTACATGCCCCTGTTATACTGCACTTGTAGATCTGCTATTTAGCATTTGATACGGACTTCTAATTCGGAAATACTATTTCCATGTGCGCTCCCATTGGGATAACTGCTGTTCAGTGCAATATTGATTCTTAGACAGTCTACTGAGGAACTGTGAGTAAACCAAATTGTGATAGTACTAAAATTCGTGGTATTCAGGTAGTTGTGTGATAAAAAATCAGGGTAATTATCATTAAATTCTTCAAATCTAACACTAAGAAGCATACAACACGCCAGATGGTGCCGAAACATGACTTGCTTTTATTCTTTATACGTGTGTACGGAGTTCATTTGTTTTGTTTAAGAAAGATGATATGGTATGTGAATGTAAATTTGAAACTCGAAGGTTTCATTTGGTATGAGAGATTAGATAAGTTTAGCAGACCAATTTGGGTTGAATCTATTGTTTGTTGGCTTTGTTACAAGGTTAATTTTTTTATTTACCACAAGAGTATAAATATATTGCAAATATACGAACTGTTATATTTTATTAGCAT